TATATACACATATATATATATACACATATATATATATTTTTTTAAGTAAGCTCTATGCCCAACATAGGGCTTGAACTCACAACACTAAGATCAAGAGTTGCATGCTCTTCTGACTGAGCCAGCCAGGTGCCCGGAGACTGTGATAATTTGATGAAATTTTTAATTTGAGAAAACTCACCTTATTGCCAACTTTATTAATATTTTTATATTGCATGATTTCAAAAGTTCATACCATTTAACCACTGCACCTCCTGACATTGTTGAGGGGTTTCATTTAAGAAACACTCTTCTAGATAGAATAGTCTTCAAGATCTTAAAGAGGGAATGAGGAGAGTTGTTTAAAATTAGCCATAATTGAGACAGTGTAATTTCATGATGTCTGTAGTTTGCAAACTGTAATTAACACCCTGATTTAACTGTTAGTTGTCTGACTTCTATTTATTTAAAAATATTAATCTGAAAGGAAATTATATCTAATTTGACTATGTCTCTTTTTCTCACATAAAATCTGTAAAACTGTAAAGTTTTTTTTTAAAAGAAAACATTCCCTAAGCATTAATATATTACTATATGTTATTAGTCTTAGGAAAGTCTCATAATTACACTTTCACCGAAACAGAACAAGTCTTACAACACAAAAGGTCCCCTCTAGATGGCCAATATAAAAGCATAATCAAATATCTACAGTGTCATTACCAATTCCAACATTAAACGTTATATCCAGAGAGGAGAGAATTACAATCTCGAGAAAGTTGTGTTGTTATTTGTGGGTTCTAACACCAAGTTAAAACTCTTCAGTGTTCACTGTAGGCTTTTTGGTTTATGATCTCAGTCAGAAAGTTCCATAAAAAGGCAAAAACTGTGTCATGGAAATGTTTACAGTTTATTCATGAAAACCAAAAACATAGTATGTACCACATTCTACAAACAAAATAGAAATTAGGTAAGTCTCTGGAGATGTTTCTGTTAAACTAGTCGATTTGTCTAGTAGCTCAAGAAGTGGAAATAGTAAATATGGTTTTTACCATCACTTTTAGCTGTTCAAACCCATGTTTCTAGAT